CAATTTTAAAATACACAAATCCTCGTTCTTTTTTCAATGAATGTCACTTCTAGGCTTTGAAAATTTTCTTTTTACTTTTATCCTTTCTTTTCATTTCTTCTTTTTCTTACTTTTCATCTCCTCGGAACACCAATGAAATCACACGTCTGAGTATGGAGATGTATATAATCTTCTTACAGAGGTCATTTCTCCATAGCAGAAAAATAGGATTTTCTTTTTCTTCCCTATGCGCCGTATCCCTCATGACGTAGGTGATCACGGCTCTCCATGACTTCCCGTCCTTTGTAACTCTTGATAAATTTTGTCTTTGTGTTATTTCTCCTAAACCCTGTTCCGCCAACCTCACTAAGTAAGTTATGCGTTTTTTTCCTCTGCCCCTCTTGCCTTCAATCTGTTTGGTGAGTATCAAATTTTCCAAGCCCTCTTTCCTCATTATGTGCCCTAGAAATGTCAACTGTTTCTTTCTGACGTTAAGTATAAGTTTTCTTTTTGTTTCTTTTTTCTCTAAGACTTCGTCATTGCTCACATTTTCGATCCATAGTATTCTCAGCATCCTTCTGTAGAACCACATTTCTGTTGCCTCAAGTCCCTTCTTCATTTGTGAGGAGATTGTCCAGCATTCCATTCCATACAAGAGGAACGATATCACATAACAGTTCAGTAGTATTTTCTTTGTTTCTAGCAAAGTTTTTTCTGTTTCTTCATACCCTGCTTAGCTTTTGGGATGCATCTTTGGCTATTCCAATGCACCTCCCAATTTTAGTGCCACCCTTTCTGCGCTCTGTTAAAACACTTTCCAGATATTTAAATTGTTGTTCTTGTTTGATTTTTGAATCTCCGATTTGTAATTTGCATTTGGGGCTCACCCTTTTGCCAACAACAATGCATTTTGTCTTCTCACACTTGATGTTTAATCCTTTCTTCTCACTTTCCTTCACTACCTTTCTGCAGCAGATTTTTTTAGTTTTATTTCCATATCTGCTATCAACACTGTGACATTTCCATATCTTATATTGTTAAGATTGTGGTCACTAGTAATATATCCTGGTAGGACTTTTAATTCTCTCAGAATCACTTCACTGTATAGGCCAAATATGTCTGGTGAGAAGAGGCATTCTTGTCTTTCACCTTTTTCTATTCTTCTATATCTGCTGAGTTCATTTTCTATCCAAATGCAGGCAGTTTGCTATCAGAATAGGTTCTTGATTTTTCTAATATTTTTCCAAAATATGTCAAGGTTGCTGGGCAGTTACAAAATATGATGACATACTGAATATAAGACATTCTATCACTGCCAATCAAACCCTGAACAACTGCCAATCATCATGAATAGATGTCACCTTAAGGAGCTACCATGGCTTGAGAGAATATTGGGCCCAAAACTCACACCCAACCTCAAGTAGAACTCTTATATATGCTTGGTTTGGATTGGTTTGTTTTATGGCATATCAACTTCAATGGGTTATTTAATGTTGTCAATTTTTATTGCTGGTAATATATTTTTTTAAAAGTGTATTGCTGGTAAGATTATTTCCTTCAAAAAATCTATTTCTAGTAATATTTTTTCTTCAAAAATGTATCGCAGGTAATATTTTTCCTTCAAAAAATCTATTTCTGGTAATATTTTTTCTTCAAAAATGTATCGCAGGTAATATTTTTCCTTCAAAAAATCTATTTCTGGTAATATTTTTTCTTCAAAAATGTATCGCAGGTAATATTTTTCCTTCAAAAAATCTATTTCTGGTAATATTTTTTCTTCAAAAGTGTATTGCTGGTAATATTTTTTCTTCAAAAATCTATTTCTGGTTATATTTTTTCTTCAAAAATGTATAGCAGGTAATATTTTTCCTTCAAAAATGTATCGCAGGTAATATTTTTCCTTCAAAAAATCTATTTCTGGTAATATTTTTTCTTCAAAAGTGTATTGCTGGTAATATTTTTTCTTCAAAAATCTATTTCTGGTTATATTTTTTCTTCAAAAATGTATTGCTGGTAATATTTTTTTCAAAAATGTATTGCTGGTAATATTTTTTTCAAAAATGTATTGCTGGTAATATTTTTTTCAAAAATGTATTGCTGGTAATATTTTTTTCAAAAATGTATTGCTGGTAATATTTTTCTCCTTCAAAAAGTCTATTTCTGGTAATATGTTTTTCTTCAAAAATCTATTTCAGGTAATATTTTTTTCAAAAATGTATCGCTGGTAATATTTTCTTTCGTTTTCAAAAATGTATTGCTGGTAATAAATTTTTACAAAGTATTTCTGGTATTAAAACATTCTCTGTTTTGACCCCAGTTTGATCAGAGGCTATTGAACAGAGTTTATCATTTTACCCAGGACACAGATGTAGTTTATCGTCATACCCAGCATGGTCTTATATATGCTCCATCACTAAACATACAGTTAAAATGATTGGTCTTTGTACCGCTCCAGTAAGTACCTGACTCCTCATGCTATCTTCTACCTTTATAAGCATAGATGAGACCAAAAAGTGAGTACTGTTGCCATATTTGGGTGGAAGCTGCCCAATTTTCACTTTCTAGTCTTAGATTTCAATAATGTCTCCATGTCCTTATTGGAGAAGAATTATTTTCCATCCTCCAACCTATTTCTGTCAAGTGGAATATGATGAGTCTCTAACCACTATATCGCTACTTCCATGGAAAGTGTTCAGATGAACTACATTCCTTGATTCCACCAGGTCTAACCTTCATGTCTAAGACTCATCATGCCATTTATATAGTAGCAAACCATCCACATTCCTCCATATTCCATCAGCAAGAAGTTAAGTTCTACTCAAACAGCTTCTTCCTGCAAACCACTGCCCTGTGGAACAGACTTATAAGAGAATGTGTCCCCAATCAATCTTAACCTATTCAAGTCTAGAGGTAACTTATCTTCCTCTCTTTTCCATAAAAACTACTTCTTAACATAACCATCTATCTTGAGAGGATCTCGAGCCTCGCACAGGATGAACCTTACTGTAAAAAAAATTTAATGGTGTTGTACACAAAAATATGAAAGAAATTGACCACTCCCTATAAAAAAAGAAGATAGACTTTATAGATACTAGAATGCTAAAGAAACAACAAAATCAGACATAGCAAAGCATGTGTTATAAAAACAAGTGTCAAGGCATACCAATTATTTTGGAATGAGGGAAAAAACTGTATGCACAATTAGTTTAGTTGCACGTATGAATAAGGTCACTCATGTTCAGTTTCTATGTAGGAACTCCATTCCTGTACTCCTAAGGTTAAGGTTTTAACAGAGGAATTTCCTTGAAAAGAATTGATCATATTTTCTCAAAATCACTTTCATTTATATTAATACAACAATGAAAAAATTATATTTTTTGTGATGTCAACAAACACTCTTTGCCACTTATGTGATGTCAACAAATACTCGTTGTCATTTCTGTAATGCTCATTGTAGTAGACACTTTGTAATCGCAGAGAATAGTTCTCTGTATAGTAATAGAGGATAGAGTAGAAATAGCAATCCGAATAGTAATAGAGGATAGAATAGAAATGAAGATCATTTAGACATATACATTTCTCCTATGATCATGTGATCCACTTAGTTCAATAATGGGATCACTTGTGTTTGTTCTCTGGCAACCTATGTTGAAACTCGTGTCGACAGCAACACTTTATTCCTATATAACATTATTCAATGCTGTAACTCTCTGGGGTGAATGTTTTTTATCTGAGGTAAAAAAAAAGAGTCAATGATAAAAGCAACTTGGAAAAAATGATGCTACCTGGAGAAAGAAAACAAAATATCTTAGAATAAAATTATGGTTTTAATTTAAATTATTCTGAAATTAACAAATTTAGGTATTTAGTAAACTTACGTATATCTTTTCACTTAGAACCTCCAGCTATAAAATATGATAAATAGATTTGAAAATGACTCTAATAGGGTTGATATTTCAGTGCAGAAAACTTGATGCAATACAAGCTTGCAAATATTTGAAATTTACAACAGTTTAAAGAGAACTGAAGACTTTTGAATGGTACAATACAGAGGCAAAAATTAAAAGTTCAGCAGAAAAAACTGCTTTCTCAGATCGATGGTTAAAAATGGCTCTGGCTAAGTGAAGTATGTGGGCCTCAGTGAGAATCATCCTTTATCAAACCTCATGGACTGACAGTACATAATCACAAAGAAAGAACTGTTCAAATAACAGAAACAACTTCACTTGATGAAATTTAACAGTGGCTAAAGTTAAAACAAGTAGTACATGTAAGTCATAAAGACAGTGATAATATAATCATGATGCTGATGTTCCACATTAATCTAGATAATAAGTAAAGAAAAGAAACCCCATCAATATTGGAAAGAGTGATGACAGCTACTTGACTTGAGAAACATATTTTCCTGAAAAATTGTTTTAAGAGAAACAGAATAACATGAACCACATCTCTTGAGAACTTTCAACAGTAGCAGCAATTAAAATGGATATCACATGTAACTACTTCAAATAAAAGTTTAGGAAGAAAGCCATGTCAGTACTGGAAAAGTGATAACAGCTACTTGATTTACGAAATGTATTTTCCTGAAAAATTATTTTAAGAGGAAGATTTTATAAATTCCAACCAACAGCAGCATTGACTGCTCTATCAATGAATGACAAATGTTTCCTTATAAGGAAATGGTTAATATCCACATTACCATAAGGTCAAAGGATTAAATAATCATATTGCCCTGACTAAAATTATAGCACTTCTCCAAAACATATTTCTGCCCCCTTGAAAATTCGTATTGCCCCTGAAGAGGTGTTATCAACCAATTTTTGAATCACTGGTCTAGTCAGCTAAATGTTATTGTAAAAAATATCTTTTATGTCTGAGAAAAATACTCTAAAAGATGCTAAATTAAAATAAATCCTTATGTTGTTTGTCTAACATTTTGTTCCGTTGACATTTGAGAATATTTACTGTCCTTTGTACGTTCATAAATGTTGAAGAGTAAAAGAACTTTTCCCCGTGTATGTTTATTTTGTTTGGAGATAAAGTAGAAGAAAAATGAAAAAGAATGAAAGGGATGAGAAAAGAATGAAAGAAAGAAAAAAGAATAAAGGACAATCAATGAAAAAATAAAAGAAGGAAAAAAGGGAAAAATGAATCAATAAAATAAAGGAACCACCAAAGACAATAGAAAATTTAAGAACAGAAGAAGTTAAGAAAGTCCCATAAGGGAAAAGAAAGAAAGAAAGAAAGAAAGAAAGAAAGAAAGAAAGAAAGAAAGCAAACTTAATTAAATATGTAAGAACAAAGAAGAGGATAAGAAAAAAGAAAGAAAAAAGAAAGAAATGTGAATATAAGGAATAAAAATGGAAAAAAAAAAGAAAACAAAGAAAATGAAGAACAAAGAAAAGAAAGAAAGAAAGAAAGAAAGAAAGAAAGAAAGAAAGAAAGAACTATAGAATATGTGATAACAGAATAACAAGATGGAAAAGAAAAAGAAAGGACTGTGCCATAAGGGTTGAAAAGGAAGAACAAAGAAAAATGAAAGATAAGAAAGAAAGAAAGAAAGAAAGAAAGAAAGAACTATAGAATATGTGATAACAGAATAACAAGATGGAAAAGAAAAAGAAAGGACTGTGCCATAAGGGTTGAAAAGGAAGAAGAAAGAAAAATGAAAGATAAGAAAGAAAAAAAGAAAGAAAGAATATGTGATAACAGAATAACAAGATAGAAAAGAAAAAGAAAGGAATATAGCATGAGAAATGTAAAGGGAGAACAAAAAAAATGAAAGAAAGACAGAAAGAAAGAAAGAATATGTGATAACAGAATAAGATAGAAAAGAAAAAGAAAGTAATATAATATAAGGAATGAAATGGAAGAACAAAGAAAGAAAGAAAGAACTATAGAATATGTGATAATAGAATAACAAGATGGAAAAGAAAAAGAAAGGAATATATCATAAGGAATGAAATCGAAGAAGAAAGAAAGAAAGAAAGAACTATAGAATATGTGATAATAGAATAACAAGATGGAAAAGAAAAAGAAAGGACTGTGCCATAAGGGTTGAAAAGGAAGAACAAAGAAAAAGAAAATGAAAAGGAAGAACAAAGAAAAATGAAAGATAAGAAAGAAAGAAAGAACTATAGAATATGTGATAATAGAATAACAAGATGGAAAAGAAAAAGAAAGGACTGTGCCATAAGGGTTGAAAAGGAAGAACAAAGAAAAATGAAAGATAAGAAAGAAAGAAAGAACTATAGAATATGTGATAACAGAATAACAAGATGGAAAAGAAAAAGAAAGGAATATAGCATAAGAAATGAAAAGGAAGAACAAAAAAAAATGAAAGAGAGGTAAGAAAGAAAGGAAAGAAAGAAAGAATAAAAGAATATGTAAGAATAGAATAACAAGATAGAAAAGAAAAAGAATGGAATATGCCATAAATGGTGAAAAGGAAGAACAAAGCAAAATGAAAGATAGAAAGAAAGAGAAATCAGGATAAAACAAAGTTGAATATATAAGAACAGAAGAACAAGATAAAGAGAAAACAAAGGAAAATGCTATAAAGGGTTGAAAAGGAAGAAGGGTTGAAAAGGAAGAACAAAAAAATGAAAGATAAAAAAGAAAAGAAAAATGAACGAGAGATAAGCATAATCCAATAATGATGGAAAAAAATAAAGGAAAATATATTTATGGGTGAAAAGGAAGAACAAAAAAAATGAAAATAAGAAAAAAGAAAGAAATAGTAGAAGACAATTCAGAATTCTATAGTTGAAACTGTTTTAAAAAAGAGAAAGTTGATTGAAGGAGAGAAAGCGGAATTGAGAAAGTGCTAAAAGAAAATAACAAGGAATTAAGAGAATTGATAGAAGAAAGAATCGAAATAATAGGAAAGAGAAAAAAAATACTGACAAAAGACTGAAAAAGAACCTAAAAATTCATAAAAAATAATAAAGAAAGCAAAGAAATCAAGAATGGAAAAGAAAGTGGAAATAAAAGAAAGAAAGAAATAGGATGTAAAAAGAGAATAAGAATTGAAGAAAAAAATAAAGAAAAAGAGAAGCTGAAAGAAAACAAAGTAAAATGAAAGAAAAACTGTGAGAAGAATGAAAGATAAAATTAAGAAAAAAAATTGAATGAAACTATATGGAAAGAATTGAAAAAGATAAAAAATTAAATTAAAAAAATAAAAAGAAAGAGAGATGTGAAAAAATACAAAAAAAAAGGAAAAAGCAATAGACAATATCTAATGGAGTAAAAAAAAAAAGACTTTGAAAAAAAGATGAAAAAGTACAAAATAAAAAGGAGTGAAAGAAAATGATAGAAAAAAAGAAAAGTTTTTCTTGACAAGGGTTGAAAAGGAAGAACAATGATATCTGTTTTTAAGAAAGAAACAATTTTTTCTTTTGTTAAATTTTAGAATTCAAGATGGAATTAGAAAAAAAGGAATAATAATGAGAAAAGGAACAAAGAAAAATAAAAGATAAGAAATATGTCAATCAACAGAATTATAAAGAATAACAATATTGAAAAAATCCATTTGTTCCACAAGATCTCATAAAACAAAAAGAAATTTATCCCAATATCATTAAAGAAATGAAAGCCTGGAAAAGAAAATTCTAGAAATGATAGAAAGAAAAAAAGAAATTGCAAAGAAATTAAAGAAAGAAAATAGGAAACATTAAAGACAAGAAAGAAATAGAAAAAGAAATAGATAAAAGAAAGAATTGTAGGAAAGAAAAGGTAAGTAATGGAGGAAAGAAAAATAAATAAAAAGGAATGAATGAAAAGAAAGAATGTAAAGAATGGATGAAAGAAAAAGAAAAAAGAAAGAATGAAAAAGAAATGAAAATAAGAATGAAAGAAATGAAACTAAAGAAATGAAAGAAAGAATAAAAAATCCAAAAACAAATGAAAGAAACCAAAAAAAGAAAAATGATAAAAGAAAAAAGAAGACAGCAAGAAATGAAATAAAAACAAAAAAAATGAGTGAAAGAGTAAAAGAAATCAAATAGAAAGAATTAAAATAAAAGAAATGAAAGAAATCAGAAATAAAATGAAAGAAAAGAAAGAAATGAAAGAAAGAATGAAAAAGGAGAAAAAACGAAATAAAAGAAATTAAAAAGACATAAAAGGAATGGAAGAATGAAATAAAAAAAAAGAAAAAATGGAACAAAGAAATAAAATAAAAAAAAAGATGATCTTAAAAGTAAATATTTGGGGGGGAAAAAGAGAAGAGGGCAAGAAATCTTATTAGCAAACATGACGCGTCACTAAACATTATATTTTTCTTTTTATTGTTTTTAATTGGCAAATGTTTTCACTCTTTGCATTTTTCACAATTCATCAAAACCAAGTGCAAGCATCTAAAATAAAAAAAACAGCAAAAGACATATCAGCATACAAACGAGTTAATTTTCATTTCTTTTTGCTCTTCAGAATTAAAATAAAATAAAACAGAACAAAATCTTTGAGTGACAAGCCCTAACTCTTTAAAGTGTCCAAAATTTTCAAATCAATAACAAGAATGTATAATTAATGTGTACTGTATACGATGATCTTTCTGAGGCAGGTGTTGCTTCAACCTTGTTGCCAAAATACAAGCCTTTCAAACTGGTTGAACTGAATGTTTGAGCAGAAGATACTTTCGATTTATAACTTTCTTTTTCTGTTCTTTTTTTTTGAAGATGAGGGCAAGACGTTTTTTTTTTCTTGCAGATACTCAATGAAACTTACACATAATTTACAACCTAAACAAATAAAGCTCAGAAACTTGGAACTTTATTTGGGTCCTTTCCTTTTTTTCTTCTTTTACAAGATTCGCGATACAGCTGATTTAGACATGCAGCTTAAGATGTTCAAAAAGATTTTGAATTTCTTACTTTATTAATTATTTACTGTTAGTTTTCACATCCTAAAACAATGTGAGCCTAGACAAGGGATTCATTTATCATTTCACCTGAAACAAGGCAATAAAGCCACTAAGACATGAGGAATTACTGAGTGTGAGAGAATATGAGAAAAAACATTATTAAGGAGTGAGAACAAAAAAGAACAAGAAATTAAGTTAACAGAAGATGATAACTGACATGGCATTTAAATTTTTGAAGATCAAAGTTGACTAGCAGAGATTTCCTCCAGCAAGAAGTGCGAGAGAAGAAACTGTTAGCATAGAACTTACAGTTACATCTAGCCAACTCAACTGTAAAATGATGACACCTTGCTTCCAATTTAGTACTACATTAAATTTATAAAATCTAGGTAACACAAAGAAAATCCCATCAAAACAATTACCATGAAAGTATTTATAGAAAAGGTATGAAAAAGCTATGTTTCAGTGGTGGGGAAGTGATTGAAGCTGAGATGCCAGCAATAACATTACAGATTCTTTTAATAGGGATCTGTAAATATATATCAGAAGCACCAGATCAGATGTGGCAGCAATATTCAAAGCATGGATAAACGGTAGACTTATAATAAATAGATGTATTAGGGGATTTTTCATGAAGTGTAGTATTATTTTGTGTCAGACACAGTTTATTTTAATTTTTCTTTCCCAGACTTTTGTTATTCTATAAGCCAAAATGACTAAAAGCTGAAACACAAATGGAAAAAAAAAAGAAATGATTTCAGAATTAAAGATTAGGACATGATAATATATATATATATAAATATATATATATATATATATATGAAAGATAAGAAAGAAAGAAAAGAAAGAAAGGAAAGAACTGACTTCAATGTCCACTTTTATATTTATACTTACATATGCTCTATTCCTGATATTGAGAAAGAAAGCACTTTAATCCATAAATATAGAATACCTTAAACTATAACAAGATATATATATATATATATATATATATATATATATATATATATATATATATAAATGTATATTTTCACGTACAATTCTTTGGAACTAAATAAATATATAAACAAGAAATTTCAGCTACATAAAAAAAGATCTAAACGATGGATATTTTTGTTATTAACTCTTTATATAATGTAAGGAATTTATGTGGATATTTATATATATATATATATATATATATATATATATATATATATATATATATATATATATATATATGAGGCACAGTGGAGTAATGGATAGCGGCTTGATTGAGGAATCGAGAGCCAAGTTCAGATTCCAGTCGAATCCATTACATTCACTTACGTGCTAACAACTTTTGTTACCTTGGGAGAGATATGAATCCTCTTCTTCTCCCTCCAGCTATGGGTAAATAGCAGGACAGACTGGGTTCTATAGCCTTGGATGGCAACTGGTCTTGAAGGACAACTCTGAATTCAAAACATGCGGAGGGTTGTTTGGGGACCTTGTGGCACTTAGTTAACCAGGTCTCTGAATTCAGCCCTTCAAATAGTATGGATGGTCCTGCATGAAACCTTCACCACTATAATCAAATCTTATGTGGCATTGTCGAGTTGTCAGTTTCCTGGGAACTGATCTGCTTGACCCTCATATGTCGAACTCGATGAGAGAGTCGAATGTGTGCAAATATATAGAAAAATAGTAAAGAACTGTTAGGTTAATAATCCAAAGTTCTTTAGTATTATTGTTTTTATTTTTAAAAAACAGTGCTCAATACATAAGCAAACCCTAAATTATAATTATTTTAAAAAAATATGATTCCATCGCTACATAAGAGTTTTCATGTTTCAAAAATAGAAGCTAAAAAACCAGCTCTGTTTCATCCTGAAGCGAATTTTGGAATGACTAATCTTGAAATTTACGGAGCTTTATAAGCATATACATTTGTGATATTAATTAAATGAAAATTGTGAAATCAATTATTGTAATAAGGGATGAAAGGGTGAACAAAATTCACTTAAGGTTGAAATAGAGATGGTTTTTTAGCTTCTATTTTTGAAACATGAGAACTCTTATGTAGAGATGGAATCATATTTTTTAAAATACACGGATAAAAATGTAAAAGAAAGACTGAAAACATCTACACCCAAAAGGTACAGACAACAAAAAAGTGCTCAATATAAAATTCAAAATTGAATATGTAGAGATATTTATGAAAAGGCAGGTTGCAAGGTTGGTTGGCTAAAATGCCAACCAACCTTGCAACCCAGGTTTCGACCTTGAGGTCGGCTCAGACAAGTGGAAGGATTTACAAGCCAAAGAAAACTATTCCAATACCTATGAACTTGAATAAGCAAAATAAAATAATTTTTTTCCCTCTTTTCATCACTTACAATTTTTTTTTCCCCTCTCTCTTCCTGTGTTCTGGTATATTGGAGTAGTTTCTTTGGCTTGTACATCCTTACACTTGTTCGAGAGGATATATATATATATATATATATATATATATACACACACACATATATATATATATATATATATATATATATATATATACATATATATATATATATATATATATATATATATACACATATATATATATATATATATATATATATATATACACACACACACACACATATATATATATACACACACACACACACACATATATATATATACACACACACACACACACATATATATATATATATATATATATATATATATATATATATATACACATACATATATACACACAAAACATACATATATATACACACACATATTGTTGTGGGAGTGATTTCACAGTGGAGGCTTGTATTTGTACTAAGACGGTCCTAAAATAGGTTTGACGTACAAAACGTTAGGAACTTGATATAATAGGTATCACACAGAGTAATCTAGTTGTGGTCGCTGCTACTTTAGTATTCAACTAGCAGTCATCTGACATCGACTGACTGACCGCCTCACTGAGCGACTCCCTCGTTACTCTTACTACTCCTACTTATTATAGGTGGGAGAGTCTATTAACTATAGAATAGGTGTGTTCCACTATAACACATATGTATACACACACACACACACACACATATATATACACACACACATATATATATATATACACACACACACACACACACATATATACACACACACACACACACACACACATATATATATATATATATATAGGAACATAGCTTTCTGACTATAGAGACCTGGGTTCAAATCTCTCCATGGTCACTTTGTCAGGAAGGTGAATTCCTGATGTTATCAGCCTGGAGGAGGCTATCCCAGTTTGCACCACTTTTGGAAAGTGCCTGAAAACCATAGCACAGGTTGACCCAAGCTTTGTGAGTGAAATTGGCTAGACAGAACCTGAGGTGACATCAATGGCTGTTCTAGCATGAAGTCACAAGTCATCGTGACCAAGGGTTTGAGCATGCTGGCCTTGTTCACGTTGTTGATCACGATAGATAACACACTTCTCTTGCAGAAACTGTAAGTAAGGTCTGCTCAGCATAGTTGTAGCATAAACCACAGGTGGGATTTGTTGGTGTTGAACAAACACAAAATGCACATGAGCCAGCATCTGCAATAGGGGTTAGCTAGCCGCCCTTGTATCCTCAAATACATGTGGCCAGCCATTAACATTAATTTATATATATATAGTAATAATAATAATGAATTTTCCTTTCGGTTTTGATGCATGAGGATCTGACAACTTAGTTGATTCAGTTATGAAATTTTGTGCGATAATCTTAAGTGTCACTTAAGACCTGCTATTTATTTACAAAGGAGGCCACATATATATATATATATATATATATATATATATATATATATATATATATATATATATGTTCATAATAAGGAATTTTTTAACCATTTCACCTGAAGCAAGGTGACAATGTCACTAGAGTGAAGGGGTTTACAGGGAGTGAAATAGAATGAGAAGAATTGAGTGGAGAGAATTGAGGAAAAGACAAATATGGAACAGGGTTCAAGAAGATTGATGATGATTGATGTTGCATTTAAATTTTTGAAAATTTTAGTTATCAGGGAATTAAGTAAGCAGAAGTGAGTTCTAAAAGTGGGAATTGTGAGAAAAGAAACTGTTGGAGTAGAAGCAGTTATGGCAAATAACTATTTTGACAGTAAAATGTTGAGACCTAGTTACCAATCTAGTAGCAAGATTAAATTCATGTAGTTGAGGCATGTAGGAAAAAGTTTCTCACAGCAGTTGTCATAAAAATATTTGTAGAAAAAACATCATTGAGAAAGTGACTGAAATCAAGATGCCTGGTTACGATTGATTACATTACAGATCATTTTTTTGATTTTGTCAAGAATCTCAAGATGTATAGCAGGAGCACCAGATATAGCAGCAGTATTCAATGCCTGGATGAATGGTAGATTTGTAAATGTGCAAAGTGGAT